CCAAATAGGTTTAACTTTTAACTATATGGGAAGCTTGAACAATAAGGTAGAAAAATTACCAAGGATTGTATATTGCAAGTGAGAGATCTCAGCTAGGCCAACAGTGCATTACACAGATATATCAATCACAAATTTACAAATATGACATAAGAAAAGCTTAGGCATGTTAGTACTTCAGTTTAAAGGTTTTGTAATTGTTAGATATGCAAAAGACAAATTATACACAATGAAACTGATACAAAAGTTTTAAAAATGTATTAAAATCCTGAACTGAGGAGCCAGCAGTATTTATCTATCAGCTAATTTACAGGAATAAGATGCTCCCAGCAGAATAAATGAGAAATAGACCCATGACAAGAGGATCACTAGAAAGGAAGCATATTTTTACATTAGTAAATATTGGTTAAAGGAGACAGCTCATATGAAATAAGCATACAAGTCAATTTATCAAGTTGCTATAGGCCTAGCAACAGTGACACAAATAGAGACAGAGTTCTGTTTAGTCTTGGCATGTCTACTTGTTAAACATATATAGCCTGAATGAATGAACAAATACATACATACATACATACATACATACATACATACATACATACATTATTGGTAGATCTTTCTCACAATAAAGCAAAATATGCAAATATATATTAATTTAGTTAATATTTCAGTATGAGCCAGTTTCATGTAGTGGTTAGGCATCAAGCTAGAATGTCAACGCTGCTAACATTGGATGTTCTTGCTTTGGCAACAGATGGAAATGTAGCCATCTTTTCTCTATTGCTTTTAGAGTTCGTTGATGCTGGGAGGGGGAATGTGGATGAGAGTCCAGCTAGTCACAACAATAATAACTCAGCTGTGGGAACCCAAGGTTATTAGGTCCAGAATTGATAGAAAGTTGGCGGGCAGGAGAGATGGGGAGAAAGCCTGTGCTTCAAGTTAATTGGGGAATGTGATTTATGACTGTTAATTGGAGGAGGGAATTGCGCTTTGCTACTTTGTGCCAGGGGAGGGGAATTCAGTTTTTGGCTTCAACTATGTAGTGCCGATACTTTGTTTCTTGAATAAAAGATTCTTTAAGGAAAACATTGCCTCAAAGTTCTTTTGAAGAGATTCATCTGTCGGAACCATGACTTAGAAAATAGGAGACCAAAAGTTCTAGTACCACCTTAGGAACAAAGCCAACTGGGTGATCTTGGGCCAGTCACTCTCTTTCTGCCCTAAGAAGCAGGCAATGGGCAACCCACTTCTGAAATCTGACCAAGAAAACTACAGAGACATGTCCAGGTGGTCACTAGGAGCCAACAATGACTTGAAGGCATACACACAAAGAATGAATAGGCACAATGAAAAAATGATCATAAACCATTTTCAAATTTGGAAGGGGGGAGAAGAAAAATTGAAACCTATATTCCTCTCCTCTCCCCTCCCCTCCCATGCAAAAATCTCTCAAAGGTTGATTAGCCTACCTTGGATTGAATAAATTTATTTACTCTTACTACAGTACATTTTAAGGGAAACAATAACTTGGCTACTGAAAAAAAACTACCAATATAAATGTGCTTGTATCCTATCAAGAGAAAATCCCAGTTGGAGAGTGAAGAACATTCAGAGCCCACCCGTCAAGATTATGTTAGCATTTCTATTATAAATTATTTCATAACTTGATTATTTCAGTGTAGATCCAGTGTAGATTTGGCAAAGTCACTGATTTCTTCCCATCTTTTCCTTTAAAAAATTCAATTGCATATAATGAAAAGGCAGCAAAGTAAGGAAAACTGTTCTAAAAACACTTAAGGATTAAAAAAAGAGCTTTTCAAATGCTATTCAGTGTACATAAGTTCTCCACTCATTTATTTCTGCAACTATCCTCCAGATGTAGTTTTTGAGGAGCCATATTGCCCTGAATAGAGTGGAGACACAGTTCAGTAAACTGATACCTCCCTTGTCTTAATTAGCAGACCCTTTTTCCCAATTGCAACCAGAGGAGTTTTTCAGCTTTTTTTCTAAGCGAAGGAAATAGAAACAGTTTCAGCTTAATCTCAAGAATGGAATGAAATGAAAAATAGGGAGAGAAACAGACTAGCCCAGACAGAGAATGGAGTTCAAACTTGCATGTAATGGGAAAGAAGTCTTATTTCAATAACTAAAGCAAACCCCATCCTCAAGATATTTCTCATCTTGCTTCCTTAATTCTTTCCTAACCTCTTATGTCTTTTATTTTGTAAATCTGAGGGCAAGACTATTGTTTAGGAAAGGGGATGTAAGCACAATGGGAACTTCTTTGATTTCAGAATGAAGTATAAAAGTTTTAAATTAAAAATTATACATTAGACTGCAAAGCAGAATTATACAAATGTCACTCATTGGCTATACATCTCTTAGATGTATATTATCAACTCTAAAGCAGCAGCAACAAAAAACACCATGAATAACTTTGAACTTATTTTGTCTTTTAAGCAAAAGCACAGAACTAATATGTACTCTTCCCAAAAAATGTTCCACAAAAGATGGAGCAAATTATAAAAGATGCAACAGAAGTACTTGAATGACTGTTTGATAATATTTAATTTCTTTTAGTCTGAAGCAAGATCTAATAAGAATCCTGTAAGTGCAGAAAAGTTCTATCCCTATTTTTATCTCCCATAAGGAACTTACAAGTAATCATATATGTTTCAGCAACAGTAGTAGTAAATCTATTGATTCATGGGAAATCACATAGGAAATTACACTGCTTTCATTTTAGAGCAGAGGCCAGGCATGTGTGTATGCCCCTAGAATTTAGGAAGCAAATTTCCAAGAAACAAACAATAAAAATTGGTATGTAAGCCTTTGTTTGGCTTAATACAGTATACCAAAAATGTTCAATCATTTCTCCCAAACCAAAGGAAGTTCCAATTCCATACTCTTCAATAACATTATTTCATGTTTGAAATTATTTTAAAAAGTGTGGTTCTGAAGTGCTAAGGTTCAAAACTCACTTTGTGTTATTTGGAATTCTGGACCTCCCAATGCTTGTTATGTCTGAAGGTAAATAATCAATATAGGAAGGAAGAAGAGAAAAAGACAAGGAAACTTCTGAATATGCCCAGTTGGCTGCCAGATGTCCACTCTAATGGAATGTCCGTTGTTTTCCTGGATATATTCTTCATCTGCTCTTCATCATGAGTCCTTCCATGAATATCACATTATTCTCCTCCAGTTTACTGTCCCACCCACTCAGTTGGCTCCCTGTCCTTCAATTAGTACCTTAATTATATGCATTTAAAGAATTTGTATATCTCCTCTTGCTTCTCCCCTTCATTTTACATACTTGTTTTTATAATTTGACCAATCTTATCTCACTTCCTCTTAAGTCTTTTTTGACATGCTATTCTCAGTGAATGGATTAGTGTTGATTTATCAGTCTTAAATTCTTCTTCTGTACCCTCCCAATACCTTTGAGCCACGAGTTATAAATTAAGAACTTATAAACTTCCTATTCCTTGTAATTCACATATATTTATGAATATATCTCTCCAAAATAATTAATTTTAATAATTATTTATTTCTATTTCACAGCATTTCGTACTCTTGACAAGAATTCCAATTGAGAAATATTGTATATGAATAGATTATTCCATGCTATACTCCTAAACAAGGGGCACATCAGATGTCATAGTCCTATTTCTTTTCTTACCCCTGAAAGCTACATGTATTCAGCTGACAGTCTTGTTTGACCTTTTCACAGTAACCCATGAAAGAAGTTGTATAAGGCTATATAATGTGTCTGCGTTTATATCATATCATTCAATGAAAAGTATAAAATAAGAGGTTCATGAACTTTTGGTCCATATTAAAGGATTGTCAAAGGATGATATAGAATATTTGGATCAGTGAAAATGCAATTTAGGAGACATCCCCTAACCACCTCAGTTTTCATACTATTTCCATGAGTAAATGTCATTCATGTACATTTGATTTAAAGCTTTAAGTATGTAGATTTCTTAAGTGGATAATATTACAATACTGTTTCTTTGGAAACAGATACAACTTTATGTGAAACTTAATCTGAACACTCAAAATATAGGACAGCACCTTCAATCTACAGGGTAAATATATTCCAACTTAGAAAGACAATTGTAGTTTTCCTAGAAGATTTTAACTGTCTCTCTTACAAACCCTTGAGGTTGCAAAAGCCACATAGAAAACAGATCTATACCCATGCCCACCCCCAAATCTATATCTATATGTCTTATCTATTTTGAAATTTGATCAGATATTATTCATCACAAAGAAGAAGGATGTGCTCTAATCAGTCCTGTCTCTTGTTAAAATGTTTCAGTTTGAACTGTATTTAACATTAAAGATCAGTCTTCCCCAACCTGATGCTCTCCAGATGTTTGACCTGCAACTCCTATCACTGCTAAACAATACATCAGGTTGATTTTTCACTTCATTACAATATGAATAATTATTTAATGAAGATAAATTGCCAATTAGCAGATTGAACTACTTTACTGTGAATTATATTAAAAACGTCACAATACAAGCTCTTAAAAAGTATTTTAAATCTTTCATGCCATATAATCTACAGTATAACAGTCCACTTTTCCCCCTTGCTCTTTGACTGGCAAAGGTGGAGTTACTATGCAAAAGTTTCACTCCTAGAGTGAATTGTTTTAAAGTAGCTCAAACAACAAATCTTTCAAAACAGTGGGAAGAAATGAAAATAGTGACATTTTTTCCAGCAGAGCAACTATATAATACTAATAAATACATAACATACATTATGGATTCTCTTCTTCCCCACATCTCCAAGGTTTTCCATTAAAGTATATTGAGTAATTAATGAAAAGCTGAGGAGATATTCTTAGAATAGAAAATCTGGTCCTAGCCCAGATCAAACAGTGGGGAAGAGAAAAATCTACATGCAACGCAGAAAAATTCAGGAAGACTGATGAGACTATGGAAGAAGAGAGGATTAAGAAAGAGAAATATGTATTTTCCAAAAAGTAACATCTTACCGCTTTCATTCTTCTCTATTACATCCACCACTTCGCCAGCCTGCAGGCTGATCTCCGAGTTCTCCTGTTTCTCATAGTTAGATACCACCACATACTGCTCCAGGATCATAGGTTCAGAGTTAGCGTCAGCACCTGGAGAAGGGAAAAAGCAAGCTGTGAGCCAGCTTCCAGCCATGGCTCGTTGAGAGTCACCTCTGTCCATCCGACTCAGGATAGGCTGACTTGTCACCAAGGCCAAGCCAATCAGAACACAACTGTGGCTCACAGCGTATCCCCAAATGGCTGGCCATAAAGGAGTAGTTTCCTCTGGCCCACAGCTCAATAGAACAGAGGAACATTGGGGAATGACTGAGGAAGGGACAAAAAACAAAACAAAACAAAAACCCACGCTTAAATGTTTAAGCACAACAGCATAATGCAGACATTAAAATGCAGGATGGAGTTTGAAAATAAACCTCTTTCCAACATGGTTCCACACCATACTCATTCCTATTCAGAGAGAAAAATCCATCCCAATCACAGCCAACATAAAAGGACGAAAAAAGTAAGTCCAGGGCTGCTCCGATAAAATGGGGTAAAAAAAACAGAACAGTCTAGTCCGCAATTTCTTCTCCTTATACACTGAGCTCCTGCTTGCTTTTTACAGGCTTGAGACAGGCAAAAGAGGGTTGTGGACGCCCATCATATTTGCCTCTAGCTGCAGCCCTTAAATAGAAAACACATGAGCTATGTTGAAAAAGGGAGGAGGGAATGGAGGAAGGGAAGAGGGGAGGGTGCAATGGTCTGTTTACTTGAAACAGAAGAGTTATAGTACAGAATCCTGCTTACACAGCCCCCCCTTCTGCTCCAGTGTTCACCTTCTTCTAAACACAACTCAAAAGAAGTGTCCCGTTAAAGTAAACTGCATAGCAAATCTCTTGTTACAACTCTAGAATTGCAAAGTACTGGCAAAACCTGCTTTCTTATTTTTCCACCATCTCTTCTGATTCCTAAGTCTCCGTCTCTTTGCTTCATTATTTTATTACGCATTATTCTTGCTACATTTTCCCCAAGCTGATTATATGAAACATAATAATAAACATATTCTGCTACTATGGACAGTTTTTTTTTTAATTTGCTTTCCACAGCAAGTTGCAGCAGAAACATGCCTGCCCTTTGCTCATCAGTCACTCAGAACATAAACAAGGGCTTCTCCCGCCCACTTCTGAACACCCACAGGAAAATCGACTCTTATACACTGCCCTTTGGCGCCTGCAAGCAAGAAATATGTGCTACAGAAGCATTTTTTTTAAAACCAGTAACTTTTTTTTCCTTTTTGAACTCTTACCCCACTTCACTGCATACAGGCATACTTAGGAACAAAAGACTGAAAACTCCCAAAGAAGCCAAGAATTTTTCTCAAAAAATCTTGAAATACTTAAAAGTTTGAGAGATCTTTAAAAGCATATTATATGAATCTAATTGTCCATATCCAACCCCACCCCCCAATTCCTACAGCACAATGGCATCCTTTTTGTTCCTGTGTATTCTTGCCTGCATCTTCAAAGCCATGCTTCTGTATTTAGTTGTTTTCCACTTGCAAGGCTGGTACAGATGACCATATTTATATTACAGGGAGTCCTCGACTTACAACAGTTTATTTAATGACCGTTCAAAATTGCAATGGCACTGAAAAAAGGGAGTTATGACTGTTTATCACACTTATGACTGTTGCAGCATCACGTGATCAAAATTCAGAGGTTTGGCAACTGGTTCCTATTCATGACAGTTGCAGTGTCCTGGGGTCATGCCTTTGCGACCTTCCGACAAACAAAGTCAATGGGGAAGCCAGAATCACTTAACAACCCTGTTACTAACAACTGCAGTGATTCACTTAACAATTGTGGTGAGAAAGGTCATAAAATGGGGCAAAACTCACTTAACAACTGTCTTGCTTGGCAACAGAAATTTTGGGCTCAGTTGAGGTCATAAGTTGAGGGCCACCTGTACTCATCTAAGGTAGCATTCCAACAAGCAAGCATATCCTGTTTTGTAACCAATATTCCTGCATTTAAAACTTGGTGTTATTTTTTGTAATTTGTTATTTAAAGTACCACAACAGCAAAAGTGAAACCAGGGCTTTAGTTATCTTATAAAATCTAAATTTTAATGCTTCAGAGTTCTTTCAATGCCAAAAATTAAAATAAAACACAGGGAGTATAAAGTATTTGATATGGATTTTTCAAGTTATTATCCCATCCATGAGATAATAACCAGAAATCTATTGTAGGACATACATCAAATAAAAACTTGACAATCGATGTTTATTACTGTATTGCAAACAGCTCTAATCTAAAATCATTCAAGAAAAGTATAACTGTACTATAGCCCAGGGCTTTTCAACCAGTGGTATGTGACCATCCTAGAAAAGTGGTGGCGGGGGAGGGGAATGGGCTGAACCGGTGGCAGGACCGCACAAGCCTGAGCGAGAGATGGCTGGAGTTGCAGGGCTGTCAGGGCTCAGCGGAAGCGCCAGGATCAGCGCTTCTTTGGGACTGTCAGTGGAAGCGCCAGGATCAGCGCCAGACTCCAGCTGGAAAGCAGCACTGATCCTGGTGCTTCTGCTGAGCCCAGAAGAAGCGCGGATCAGCTGGAATGTTGCAGCATCTCCAGGGTCTTGTGATTTACATTCAGATGCTTGGCAACTGATTCATATTTATGACGGTCACAGTATCCCAGGGTCATGTGAAGTGACCAAACCTGCTGCAACCACCCAGCAGACGGGGGGGAATAAAAACCAAACACCCCCCCACCCACCCCCACTGCCAATCCTCAAAAGAAATGCTCACAACAATGAAAACCTTGGACAGGAGGAAGGGCACTGTCTTGCTCGGCTGTGGCTTGGGGGGCACTTTTTTCAATGCCATTGTAACTTTGAACAGTCACTAAGCAAACTGTTGTAAGTCGAGGACCACCTGTACTTTATCACTTTTTTCCTTTTTTGGGGGGGGGGTCATCAAGTTTTTGATACCTTGCTAGGCAACTGGTGGTACTCGGATGTTGCCATATCCTAAAAGTGGTATAATGGGTGAAACGGTTGAAAAGCCCTGCTATAGCCTATCCTGGTCAGTAATGCTTCCCTTTCACAACTTTTCAGATAGCAGCTCAGCCCAAGACAGCTACAAACATGCAACATAGCAAAGCCAGACTCTTCAAAACACCCAAATGTCAACTCTCTGAGGGATATTTCAAAATCATTCTATGTAAATGGGCCTACCTGTTACTAAGATATCTTTTATCAACAACAGCTCATGAACAACCATTGTAAAAAAATGGCTGGCTTCACATATTGTTTTAATCACATTACTTAAGCATGATACATTGGATTGATGTAACATGATAAATACAATAAATCTGAGCATAATGCTTGGATTCAAATAATACACTAAATCAAAGCAACCCTTATTATGCCTTAGTACGATGTACGTAAGGCATCAGTGTAAGACTAGGAGATCATGAATTCTAATCCTTCTTAGGCACAAAGCCAGCTGGGTGACTTTGGGCCAGTCATTTTCTCTTGGGCCGTAGGAAGCAGGTAATGGCAAACCACCTCAAAAAAAAAAAAACCTTACCAAGAGAACTGTAGAAACTACTCCAAGAAATTGTCAAGAGTTAGGTTAAAGATTGAAGTATACTATAATCATAATAAATGTATAATTTTTCAAGACTCCTATAAGTCTTTTTAAACAATTTTGAGAATATCTAAGAAACTATATGGGTTTTTTGGACTGGATTATATATTCTGGTAAAAAAAAAGTATAGGATAGAATGTGCACACAAAGGGAAGCACTATATGATCAATCCCAAAACTATAGGATTTGAATATTACAAATGTACAATATACTGTAGTCAAGGAATCAACATAAGAAGTAGAAATAGCTTTGACAGAACCTGTGACAGGTAAACTAGTCCACCGGACCACCCCAACGATGCCGCGGAAGTGATGTCCCGGTGCCTGGAGGCCGTGCAAGTCTGGATGGGGAGGAACAGGCTTCGACTCAACCCGTCCAAGACCGAGTGGCTGTGGTTTCCGGCGTCACGACATAGCCAGTTGGCTCCATCCCTGGCTATCGGGGGCGAGTCATTAGCCCCCGCGGAGAGGGCCCGCAACCTGGGCGTCCTCCTGGATACTCGGCTGTCTTTAGATGACCATATGACAGCCGTGGCCAGGGGGGCTTTTCATCAGGTTCGCCTGATACGCCAGTTGCGCCCCTTTCTGGATCGTGACGCTCTACGCACGGTCACTCAAGCCCTCGTTGTTTCCTGCCTGGACTATTGCAATGCTCTCTACATGGGGCTCCCCTTGAGGTGCACCTGGAGGCTCCAGCTAGTTCAGAATGCAGCCGCGCGGGGGATCCTGGGGGCCTCTAGATACTCCCATGTAACACCTCTCCTGCGCGAGCTGCACTGGCTGCCTGTGGCCTTCCGGGTGCACTTCAAGGTGTTAGTAACAACCTTTAAAGTGCTCCATTGCAATGGACCTAGGTATTTGCAAGACCGCCTCCTGCCAAACACCTCCCTTCGACCAGTCTGCTCCCACAGAGAGGGCCTTCTTAGGGTGCCGTCGGCCAGTCAATGCCGGCTGGCGACCCCCAGGGGGAGAGCCTTCTCTGTGGCAGCTCCTGCCCTCTGGAATGACCTACCCCCCAACCTAGGTACAGTTGCGGACCTGCGCCTTTTTCGCCGAGCCCTGAAAGCCCATCTATTCAGTGCGGCCGGCCTGGCGTAGTTTGATTATGTTTTAGTGGGGGTTTTGTTATGGGGTATTTTAGACCAGGCCTGTTATTTAATTTGATTTTAGACCAGAAACTTGCATATATTTATCGTGGTTTTTATTATCGCCTGTTCACCGCCCTGAGTCCCGTAAGGGAGATAGGGCGGTATATAAATTCAATAAATAATAATAATAATAATAATAATAATAATAATAATAATAATAATAATAATAATAATAATATGACCAAGTGTTCCAAACATAACTAGATATTGATTACTCACCTTTCTTAGGCAAGAGGATCAAAGATACAGGTTTATGTAAAAAAATTGCAAATGTAAAAGGGAAATACTGGACTATTTTACAAGACTATTCTTAC